AGGTCTATTTCTGCCGCCTGAAATATGACGCCTGCGTGGCACCGGGACTGTAGCCCTCCGCAAAGGCACAGGGACGAGAGATGTCTCTCATACTGTGCTGGCAGACGTGTCCTGTGTACTAGCAGCGTGAAGAAAACTCCATAAGGCGTCCAGCAATCACTCAAAGTGCCTCATGTTATTCCAGAAAGTTCCAAATAATAAAATGTATGAGTCCTTTCTCCTGCAAATGCCCCCCCCCCCAGTTATTCAAAGTGCAGAAATTGTCCCTCAGGTCTTGCATAGCATTTTACTGTGATAAACTTTAAATTTCATCACCAAAGCATATATGGATTGTCTCTGCTTCACTTGAAAGAACTTCCCTCTTCTCAACATGGTGGCGTACGCCTCGCTAGTGGTGAAATCAAGCCTCGGCGCGGAATGATCGAAGAGGTCTTGGCTTTTTTTGGTGCCGTGTGGTTCTGCGGGTTGGGAATCCATGTCTCTGTCCGGGAAGGTCACAGAGGCTGGCAGAGTGTTTTGAGTCCCGAGGCAGGGAGAGTGTTTTGAGTCCCAAGGCAGGCAGTGTGTTTTGAGTCCCGAGGCAAGCAGAGTGTTTTGAGTCCCGAGGCAGGCAGAGTGTTTTGAGTCCCGAGGCAGGCAGGGTGTTTTGAGTCCCGAGGCAGGCAGGGTGTTTTGAGTCCCGTGGCAAGTAGAGTGATCATATCACTGTTGCCCACTTCACTACAAAAACTGCTCAAAGGGATGCTGGGCAAGTGGAGAGTCAGCGCTGTGACTCAAAGCTTAGTTCCCACCTGTACACGTGTTTCTCGTCGGTGAGCAAGAAAGGGTATCTAACCCCTATGTACTCTTACAAAAATGGATGGCAATGTGTTTCCTCTGAAATGAGGGTAATCTAAGGAACGTGTGAATTTCAATGAATATTGTTCACTGTGTTTGGTCATGAGATCTCTGTTCTATACAGCAAAAACCTTCATATTTCAGGCAGAAGAAAACATATATTTTTATGTATGACAGTCATGTTTGAATGCTGTGTGATGTGTCGGCGTTATAGTACGTTATTTGGATGAGGAGAATTTTTTCAAATCCCAACATCAAAACTAAGAAATGTGATACTTCATTGATCAATAAAATACCAACCAGGTTCTTTATTTAAACAGCAGCACTTCAAAGATATCTTTAATCTGTTTAGTCATCCTAAAATTTGATTATTTTTGGAGAAAATGAAGCGTGATACAAAGAAGAAAATGGCTCAAAGACTAAATGCATGTAGTTATAATTCAAATAAAACTGTTACAATTTCTCATAATGTTTATTTCAGCCCAGGATCCTGAATGGGAGATGAAAGCATTAACCTGCCTGCAAATAAGAAAACAAAGCATTTCATTACAATAGTCCCGCAGCATCAGACTGACTGTTAATCGTTCTTCATCAAAAGTTAGATGTAAACCCCCTCATTTAATCTGATGACTGAAGATACAAACAAATCTAAATATATCTGCTGCTTGTGATGAGTCACATGGGGGGTGGGGGGGTGGGTCACAGTCAGACTGCTGGTCACACTCCAAACACGAGGAAAAATCACCCCAGTTCCCCCTCCCCCCCATTGGCTAGGAAACAGCTGCCATTTGCCAGGGGAAAAAAATCAAGGTTTTTTCAAGGCAAACACACTTGAAGATCAGCGGTGACTGTCAATGGCATTTATGTTTCTGTGCCTCTGGGGGGCATCTACACAAAGCATGTCTCTGCCGTCACGTTACTGGCGATGTGGGCCAGGTGACACGCAGTGCTGGGGGGAGCCCATGGCGACCTGGGGGGAGACCTAGCATCTGATTGGTCTCTCACGGGAGGCGTTTACGTGCTCTGATGGTGGGAGAGCAGAGTAATGGGAAAGAAGAATATGCTAGTCTCGGCAGTAGGTAAGGGAGGGGTAGGCAGCGGTAAGGGGGGCTGGTGTGCGACTCAGTGGGTTAGGCTGAGATCAGAAGGTTGTTGGTTCAAATCCCGGCGTTGGTATAGTGGTTTCGCCATTGGGGCCCTTGACCAGACCTTTCCCTCCCAAATTGCTCCAGGGAGTGTCAGACCCTGCTCCCTCAAAAAAAATATACGTGACTTAGGACAAAAGTGTCAGCTAAATATGTAGGATGGTGAGACAAAACAAGAGAGACACCCCTACATCTGAAGGAGAACTGGGGACAGAGAGAGACAGTACGGTAAACATGAGTAACCTAGTTAATGGGCTCTAGCCCGGTGAACTAATCTTACAAGAAGCCATAAGATATGTAAGTATCAGGTGACCAGCTGGAACCAAAATCATATTTCCAAGTGCTAACATTTAATAGCTGGTCCCTCCCATGAGGTATAATCAGGGTGATGTTGATCCTCCCTGAAGCCTCATTTTCTCCAGGTAACTGTGGAAACCTGGCTCGTGCCATCAGTCCAGAAAATGTCAGCAAGCTACTGGATTGTCCATCTGTACCCCCCAGCCCCCTCCCCCCACCCGAGCGAACTCCTTTGCATTACCGTGGTTACCGTCGGTCAGCCTTACTAGCTGCATAAGGGAGAAGGACATTCCCCGACCTCCCACACACCATCGGCGGTTGGCCATTCCATCTGGACCCAAGCCCTGGAGCTGATCCTGAACTCTGGCCACACAATCATCCTGCCTGGCCACATGGAGGAGGGGCGGGGCTTGTCGGCCCGTCCCCTGGATCTCGCCGAAGGCAGCCTAGCGATGGGCCTTGTCAGCTCTGAAAGAAGGTGGCTTTTTTTTCCCCACTCCGATGTCCGCAGCTGTCACTCTGTGCAATGAAGAGAGAAAAAAAAGCTCACAATTCAGCCAGGAACAGCTAACGTTTAATCAGAAGCGGTCAGGAAGTGAACAAAAACGGGAACGAGCAGGGAAGCTAGCGGCTGCCGCGGCCAAACAGTGATGCGGGTGAACTGGTGGCCGCGGGGAGAATCAGAACGAAAGCCAAGGAGGGATTAAAGATCAGGCGGGCCGGCCGCCATCGCACCTTAGCCTGCAGGCAGCGCGCCTTTCCGTAGCCTGTGATCCAGAACATGTGATCCTGTGTATTTCACAGTAACTTGACAGCAGTAATTTAATAAAGGATTCAAGTTCATGTTAAAGAAATGACAAGATTCCAGCAGGAATCCAGTTGCCCATCCCCACCAAGGCTGCATTTCTAGCTCTGGTCGAAAGTATAGAAGCTCGCTAGTAGTTCAGGCACTAGTGATTCATCCGAGTTGAAAAAGCAGAAACGGGCCATGGGAATTTCTTGTGGAATGTCGGCCATTACTGATTAACATTTCAATGACTCCGGAAAACAAAAGCGCAGCAGAAGACGGGGGGCTGACAGGCTGGATTCAAGGAGCCCTCAAAGCTGACCTCCGCGTGCTTGGAGCGTAGTCCTGCTGTGTCATAGGCTGAGTGCCGACAACACGTCCCTAAGGGGGCCACGTATAACCGAGAGAGAGCTTTATAAACAACCAATCACAATTTCCTGTGGCAAACTGTTTCCCCCTAAATACACACACACACACACACAGACATATATATATGTACGTACCATTATGCCCTAAACCAGATTTATCTTTTTTCTTGAAAATACATAAGGGTTGTAATAAAGGCTATGTAACATAGTACTGACTTGGCGCCAGATAATACAATTACTGTCCAGGCGAGTTTCTCGGGTCTCGCAGTCCATGGCGGAAACCCCATGTGACCGTCATACTGCGGCTAATTGGACTGTTTTTCTCAGGCTGTTTACGGGCGGACGGGTGCTAGAGTCCTCGCTGTTTTTCACGGGATGGGTCTTGTGAGTCCCTCGCTCGGGCTGCAGCGCGGGATGGTCCGGGACCTTCCTGGGACACGCCAGCCAGAGGCGAGGGTGACGGTGCTTGGGTGTGACCGAGCCGCAGTCGGCTGTCCAGCCCAGACGATGGGAGGAACGTGTCTCCGTAGAGCTTCATTAGTGAAGGGGCTGACAGCCTGTGTTGTAAACAAACTCAACCTGGGCTGCAGCTTTAAGGTCTGGGGCACCCGTAATGACATCACTAATGACCCGACTATGAGCCAGGTTGTAGCAGCAGTGACAAATAGCTAAACTACAGACCAGCTTATCAGCAATGCTACACACAGAAGCTGTACTCATATGGTGCTTTTCCACTGCCACCAAGAACCAAGCTGTACCCAAGCCGTACCGCCAAGTGACGGTTTTCCTTTGCAAATTATATGAACCGTACCCAAGCCGAAAGCATGACCAAACTGAGCTGGTTGCATCACCACCATCTGATTGGTCAAAATGCACGCAGACACTGGTGTTCTGTGTCGATATGTGTGGATCATCTGAAGGAAAAAAAACGTACTATATATTCATTACCAGTACTATCACACATTGTGATGTACTGATGCATTCCTGGTAACTTGGAACTTGAAGTACTATAAAACAGCTGAATGGAATGGATTCATAATGCAAATTTATGCAAGCTAATGCTAATTCTGCTAGCATTTGATGCTAACATAAGACAGCGATTCTCACTTGCTAGCGGAAATTTGCACTCAGTAAATCATGATGTACACCATGTGGACAGTAAATAATTGCCTTTACCAAGCCGACCCTTCTGCAATGGAAAATCAAAGTGAGCCGGAACCAGGCTGTACCTAGTGTCTCTTTGTGGTATGGTTTGGGTTCGAGGCGCTTCCTGTATGTCAGGAGAAAAGTGCCAATATTACGCTAATATCAGCCAGATGCCATTGCGGCTTCACACCAGCAGGGTTGTGGGTTCGATTCCTGCCCCCGCTCTGTGCGTATAGAGTTTGACGTTCTCCTTGTACTGCTGTAGGTTTCCTCTTTGGACTCCAATTTCCTTTCTGAGTTAAAAAAAAAAAACAGCAACATGTGGTTTATATGATTTCTCTAAATTGATCTTGATGTTTCAATACGTGTGGCAGGTACTGAACTGGCATCCTGTCCATGGTGTCACCTGCCCTGTGCGTCCTGATTCGGTTCCAGGTCTGCCGTGATCCCAGGCAGGCAAAGTCAGTCCTGAAAATGAGCTGATGTCAGAAAGACTCACAAACCCCATGGTCTCCTTTCCAGACAGCTGCATGGCGATTATTGGGGGAGTAGATCTCTGCTGAGTTCTGCACCTTGGCTAAGACTCTTCAAGTCACTAGGAGAGATGTAAAGGAACAGAGGAGGGTGCCTTGTATGAAGACACAAACCCTGCATATCTTAATCTAGCAGTATGCATACATATGCAACATTGTGCATAGCTAACTAAGCAATGGTGATTACCCAAAATCAGTTGCAAATCTCACTAACAGGATCTTAAATACCTACGTCATTCCCCCCCTCAAATTTAATGGGAACAAAACCGCAGAAAGGTTTCATTACATCCAAGAATTAGGGACGAGATTTTTATTTTGAAGTTGGTCGCAAGTAATAGAAAGTCATAAACAAAATCGGAAATTAACAGAAGAACCGAAGTTAGGTTACACGACCCATGATAAGGTATTACTGCGTGATCTTATAAATGTCGTGATTATTTGGAGGAATCACATGAATCATTTTCAGTGATATGACCTACGAGTATGAGCCAATCATTCTGAAAGCCGGATAGTTGCCATTTTGAAATCGGATTAAGTTGTTGTCGTGTTTGGTTCCAGCAGCAGACACTAGTTTATCCAAATTCATATTGCCATAACTGAGGCTCGCGGGTCACCAAACGATCCCAAACTCATCCCTCCAGCCTCTTAATCCATCCGTCGGAAATCCGCACAAACACAGAAGAAAACATTTACGTCAGTGTTATGTCAGAAGGGACTAGAAGTGACACGGGTGTTTTGGCCGTCCGTATTTATTGGGAGGTTATGGGATATCGAGGAACAATTTAAAAATGCTGGGGGGGCGGAGCTGATGGCAACATGAATGTATCATCATACCGAAATATACAAATACTGTAAAAAAGTAACGGTTTGTAAGCTGGTTTGTGAAAAGGCGTTTGTTATGGTCGTAATAGAATCTTAATTTTAAAATATAGCTTTAAAGTTTGAAAATGTGTGAGCTGTCTGTCTAGTGCATAAGTAACAGACACTGGTATTGTTACATTATCAGTGTTATTCGTGACGGTTAAATATTCCAGTAGATCTTTGTAATTAAAAGCTTGCCTTTGCCTAGATAAAGTTGTTTGATTTTATTTACATAGACCTACTAATCATTTAATGAACTTCTAAGCGATTAGAAACATCTTCAAAATAAAGTAACATCCCCACTCTATTTTCAAGAAGTGTTCCGCGCTGCGTACCCCACCAACTCGATCCACCGTATTTTATTAAAACCAAAACTAAAATCTCCCCCCAAAAACACCATTGGTCGCCACGAGCTCGATTTTACCCAATGAGAATATGTCCGTCCTATATTTGCCATGTGCGGCACATGTTTCCACACGCAGTGTTTCCTGGTGCCATGGTTACCTCCGCACAGGCTGGCATCGGGCGGGCAGGGAAGGGTTAAGGAGGAGTAGCCCGCCAGCGCGATAGCGGAGGAAAAGCAGCATATCGCGGAGGAGCCGTCCGCTCCTGCCCTGGCACATTTGCGTCCATGTGGTCTGCGCGGAGGGAGGAGGGCTTTGGGGACGTATATTTGGGTAAAACTTTTAATGCGGGAATACAGTTTTGCTTCTGTTCAGGAGGGCATTCCTCGTTCACAACTTCAACATCGGGGACTGACTGAGGGGAATAAACAGCCACGAGATTTAATTAGGCCGTAATTGCGCTTCTGCTCGCTGGTGCATTTTACACGTGAGCTGGAAGCTGGTCGGAGACGCGCGTGCGCCGTGCGCGCGGAAAGCTGGCTCCAAAGTGTCAGCGGAGGAAAGTGGATATATCACTTTAAAGTGCAACTGAGCCGGACGTGTGTCTCCGGTGCGACGCCTCGATCGGCCCTGGAATATTAATAATAAAAATCAGAAAAAGCACTTGGAAACAGGGAAGTTATGGACGACAGAATATCACGTCTGCAGGACAGACAATCGCTGGATCAGGCAGATTTCCTCGGGCAAGTTATTTTTTTTTATTGCATGACATTCGTGAAAATTCATATTTTTGCGGTGGCATCTATCATTAAATGTTTTTTTCCAATAACAGGGTGGAATATTCATCTCTCTACATGTGCAAATCAAAGCGGGTGGTGAAGAGGGAGGACGCCAAGGTAGGGGAAAGTTTTGTCCGGTACCTTACAAAGAATGTGACAAACGAGATTTTAAAAGCGAGGGTTATTTTAGAATAATCATTGATTTCCCCCCCGATATGCACACCAGTGCTTCTAACCGTTTCTGTCTACAGGACGCCTATAAGTTGCCACACAGGCTGATTGAGAAGAAGAGACGAGACAGGATTAATGAGTGTATTGGGCAGCTGAAGGATTTGTTACCGGAACACCTGAAACTGACGGCAAGTTTTCTCTGCGTTCGTTCCAGTTCCGTGGTGCAGGGCTATCATTTTAAAAATCACTGTTTATTCAAAGTTCACAGTGTTACTTGATGTTGTGTGATTGTGTCTTGCACAGACGCTTGGGCATTTGGAGAAGGCTGTGGTTCTGGAATTGACGCTGAAACATGTAAACGCCTTGACCGCGATCACCGAGCAGCAGCACAAGAAGATCATCGCTTTGGAGAGCGGTGAGTGGCATCATGGCTCCTGTCAGGCTGAACTTGACTTATTCGCGACCATTAATCGATGCAAATAATGCACGCAATCTTCGGCAATACTTAGTATGATGCGATTATTTTTTTCTTTCGAATATTTGAAATCTGATAAATTTCTGAATGCTCTTTTCGTAGGTGATCGATCGACAAAATCGTGTGTCCAGGCTGATCTAGATGCATTCCATTCGGGCTTTCAAACTTGTGCCAAAGAAGTGCTGCAGTTCCTGAACAGGTCCGAGAACTGGACTGCCCGGGACCAGAGATGCACTCAGCTAATCAACCACCTCCAGAAAGTTTGCGCTCAGCTCCTTCCCAGCGCCCAGCTGATGTCCCAGCAGCTCCTGGCCAGTAAAAGCGCCACCGTAGCTCATGGTCAGAAAGCGGAAACGCAGGCGAACTGTGTTCCCGTTATCCAGAGGACTCATATCGGGGAACTGAACGAAAACGACACGGACACCGACAGCGGCTATGGAGGAGATGTGGAGAAATATGAATGGAAGGCCGACCCAGACTGTAACGGCGCAAAGGCGGTCGGACCCCAGCCGGTTAAAATTAAGCAAGAGTACGGTGACGAGCCCCGAGCCAAGAGAGCGAAACTGGACCCCAGTGACTTTGCGATGTTTAAATCTGATTCGACTAGCAGATCTGATGTGTCCGTTTTAAACTCATTGATGGGACTAGGCGGTGTACCTTTCGGACAACAAGCGTCTTTCTGCATGCCTTTCTATTTTCTTAACCCATCAGCAGCTGCGTCTTACATGCCTTTTGTGGACAAGTCCAATTTGGAAAAATATCTGCTGTCCGCCACGGCAGCGGTGACAAACCCCTTCCCACTGCTGTACCCTGGACTCCCCGCGCAGGCGGTGGCGGCTGCAGCTGCAGCCTTCCCGGGCGTGTCGCCAGCGCTTTCTCTAGGTAAAAGCTTCGGGCTCACATCTCTCTCCCAAAATACCGACAACCAAGCCCCCAACCTGGAAACGCCGATCGAGGCGGAGGCAGCTTCACCTGTAGAGAGTCAGATCATGGAATCTCCTTACGGTGAATCCAAGAAGACTGAAGCAGACGAGTGCTAAATCACTCAATGCCCATATTTTATCCCCATATATTTTTCAAAACGCGTTTTTTCAGTTAAGTGGTGAGTCTTTATTTTTATGATAGTTTTAGCTGAGGAGGACGACACGGTAATGTTGTTTTAATAGGAAAAAAAATAATAACTTTGTTCAAAATAACACTGCAGTTAACAGGACATTAATTTTATTCTGTTGAAGTGCTATGTTTACAATTTATAGATTTAGCATATAATGTAACAACTGACTGATAAATATTTAAGTCTGTATCATAACTGTCAAAGAATGTTTTGACCTAAGGGCAAAGTTTTTCAACAAAAGATCAAAATTTCTTTTGGGTTTGATTAATGTATCCAGCGCAGATGAGCGCTTGCGTAGAGTACGACAGGTCACGTGTCTGATACTAAGACGTGGGAAAGGTACATGGGCACCTTAGTGGAAATTTGATACTGAATGTAACTTATTTTTAATGAATATGGAAGTATATATAAATATATTAATTATCAGATTCCAGGTGTTTGCTTTTTGCAAGGTAAAGTGCACTTGTTCATGCTTTTCAAAGACGATCTTTTTACACCATTGCCTGTCCCTGTTATAATCCAGACAGGAATATATTTTCCTATTTAGATTAATTAAACTACGAGACAGACATTTCATTGACAAACATGCGTGTGTGCAATGGTGGCACTGCAGCCATGCTATTTAACATACAATGCATGTTTCTGAGATGTGGAAGACATTGAAATGTTGACTACAAGTGCAGACTGGCAAATATTGTGAGATACAAGAACCGGAGATGCTTTGTTCAGCTCTGGGATGTGTGAGACCCGTGACCAAATAGCGGTCTAATAGGCGGTGTGGCGGTGAAGTTCCCGGATGAATACTACCTTCAGATTCTGACTTCGCTCCAAGCTCCTAATTTGAACGTGATGTATTACTATAGTTTAGTTTCTATGTTAACAATTGTGAATTGTTGCAATTTATTAACGGAGCATATATTTTTGGCGTGCACGCATATTTAATGTATCGATGAATATGTTTATCAATAGCGCCAGCTTTAAAACGGAACGGTACCTGTTCTTTGGTGTGTCAGGCTTCCAGTTACCAAATTCATACGCCGTCACGCTCACAACACTTACATGTGGAATATGGCGATGGGCGACCAAGGATGTTCCAAGAATGTCGAGTCTTTTAACAAAGCCTCATTCGGGACTGAACACCAGACTTCTGCCTAGAGGTCTTTGGTGAAGTGTTTATACTGACTGTAGTTAGGATCTGGCACGGCTGCACGAGTGGCTTCACAGAATGTTCTGGAAGAGACGACAATCTCACAATAAACTTATCCTGTAAATAGTCAAAGATATGTATATTTCTTTCTTTAAAAAAAAAAAAAAAAAAAAAATCCAGTGCTGCTCATTGGTGTTTGCCTCAAAAACTGAATTTTTCATGGTCTGTTGCCAAACGTAGTAGCTTGTATGTGTACATAGTTTGCAAACACAATGAAGTAAATGTCTGTTGTAGTTATAAACTATGCGTTTTTAACAAATTTCATTAAGTGTGTAGTTTTTGTTAGGTTCTTTAGGCAAAAACTGTCTTATTTTAAAAAGTCACGAAATAAATAATAGAACATATGTTTTAAGTCTCATTCTTTATTAACCAATCGATTAAATGTCGCGTTCTTGCTAAGAATACTCGTAGGCTATTTGCAGGATTTAGTGCCTTCCGGTTGCCTCATAGGACACAGAATGCCTGTTGGTGGCGCCACTGAAGAAAAGCAAGGGCTTTTATCCAAAGGTTAATCCTGAAAATATTGCCATAAATAAAGCGGAGCCTCATTAACTCTGGGAAATGGTGCTGTGCATCCTTCCCAGTATTCGGCTACAGACGGATCCCAGCCAGGGTGATCCGCAGATCGACCATGCCACGCGCAAGCAGGTGGGCGGAGAGGTCATCCTACTTTGTGCCTGCAAAACAAGCAAATGCTCACTTAAAATGTGCACATAAAAAAAAAAGTTGACAATTAATATATAGTGCGAAATTCGACCAAGCAGTTACGAATAGCCTTGAGCAGAAATTGATATACTGTTATTTTCAATGGGACTTGGCTAACAAACGAGACACTGCAATGTTCAGATCTTCCAGAGAGCTTCATCCAGAAAAATCTATTCCCTGCACACGATGTCCGCCTCCGAGGTTACATCAACTAAGTGCACATACACTCATTACGAAAATACTGTGTAATATTATAGCCTAGTATCGACACTAATGTGGCTGAGGTTGTGAAAGTGAGGTACTGCATTATAACTTACCCAGCTGTAGAACGTAGATTAATTGTAATAATGCTACTGGTATATAGCCTATATATGCAGATGTGTTATGTAACTATGGCGAACGATGGATACATACATTGCAAGCAGGCGCATAGGAAAGGGGTGAGATAGAGGGAACGTGAACCCCCCGATATTTAATTTGGCTCCATTCGTCCCCCCTATAAATAGACTCTTGCCTTTATATTATTAAGTACCCCTCATTTTCAAACTGTCTTGTACAACATTGATTACATAGGTTTTATTCGCATAGTTATGATGGTGCCGTTTTACCGCTTATTCGTTAAGGGATAAAAATGCGCAAATTATTACTTCCGCGATCCATCCCAAGTGCTGTTAGATTAATTCGGCTTATTAACTGATTTTTATTTAAATTAATGTACCCGACACCGGAAACGCGGACTTTCACCCGACCTAAACCTCCTTATACGCTCATGGTTACCAGACGTTTGCGCGGTGTTAATTATTAAACTGGCGGTACATGCATGCAGCCACGGCCGATCCACGTCAGCTCTCCTGCCCTTCGCCCGGGTTCATGGCGGCAGTGCCGCGCTAGACGGTGACGTAACTAATCTCCTGTCCAGGAGGGGGGGGGGGGGGGGTCGAGGGTCACCGCAAGATCATCACATGCGCCTGCACAGGACACGCAGCCGCCCATGTGCAGCAGACAGCCATGCGGCAGGTAGGAGCCGGGAGAATGGCGGTGTGGGAGGGCAGGTTTACCTGGTGCTCTGCATCGCTGAGCCATTGTTTTCGCAGAAAGCAGCGACGCGCGTCTTGCGTGACTGTGAATTCGGCGCGTTTCATTTTTTTTTCTGCGCACTGCCACGGTCGGGCAAACCGGAGCGCCGATTTGCTTTGACTGCGCAGCGTCGCCACGGCGGCGCGCGGTTACATAACCGGCATTGTGCACGTGCTGCCCTCGAGCTGCTCGATGAAAAACGTGACCGGCGGATCCAGGGAGAGCAGGCAGCCCCATGGATAAAATATCTGAAAACCATAATCATAAAATAACCATAAATATCTAAAGTTAATACTTTGAAGCGTATTATATCTCAGAGCCATACTGACAAAGGAAGAAGAAACATTAAAAGATCAATAATTTCGTAAACAAACTTAAGGGTAATTTTAATTAAACTTTTCTAGCGGGTGTGTTGCAAATATGACGGATACTTCAAACTGGTCACTGACTTCATTTCTGCGCCCGAATTGTGAGTTTTATTTACCCCGTTGAGTGTCAGGTAATCATAATATATGGTCCTAGGCCTACACTAAGACTCATATTAGTAGAAGTAAAATATACTTTGGGAAATAAGCAGTTGAAAGTAATAAAAATGGTTACATTTTGAAATAATGTCAAATTAATCTCAAGATTTATTATATATACAGAAGAAACTGTCTTTTCAAATATCCTCAAGTTATCTTGTCTGTCTTCGGGTATTGGTTTGAGCACTATAAAATTAGGTAATGGCGTCATCTGCTGGGCAAAACCATTTATTAAAAGTAAATTTCAGTTTATATTTGGCTTTGTGTTCTATTTGGCTTATTGAGTTTCCGTCTCAACTCGCAATTATCATAAACTCATTCAGTTCACATTCAAATGGGTCAATTGGCGACAGGGAGGTTAAAGACCAATGTTTGTACTGTGAATGTTTTAATCTGTTGTACCATTCAGTCAGGCGACCCAAACTGCTCACGTGAAACATGTAGGTCCGTAAACAGGGGGAAATCAAGTTTCTTTGGAAAAAAATGTTTAGTGAGAAATTAGAGAATAACATTTGATGCGAAGCCCAGCACCAAACCTTTGACTTATGAGCAGAGGAGCTAAGCACCATCTCAGGTCCCTAAAAGGACAGTGTTCTTGTAAGCAGTGGTGATTTCCAGGTCGATCACTCCCTTCCTCCCTCAGCTGCATGGTACCAATTTGCACTGCCACAGTTCTCAGTTCTGCCTTTTGCTTATTTGGAAACCAGGTCATAATTTACACAGCGCCATGTGATAGGTGACTGATGTAACCAACCACACGAGGTGAACCTGTATTTTAGCCATTCTGCTAGAGAAAAAATGTTTTACAGTGATCAGTTGGGTGACCTTTAATTCCGTGTCTCGTGGTACATCAGCAGCGCACTTGCGCCACAAAGAAAACTGAATAACGAAGGATAGCGTATAGAATAGCAAAAGAAAAAAGGAATTTGTATTTATGTTGAACAAAGGTGGTAATAAAAAAGAAATCTTTATTTAAAACAGTTGAATATAGCAGAAGGAGAAGCGAAGAATACAGGGTTTTCATTATAAGTAGTGCATCAAAGTGTCGAGGAAATGCATAGAGATCAGTGCAGACCGTGTTCCCTGTGGCTCGTGCCGCATGCACGGTGACCCGTCTTTCGTTTAAGTCTTGCTTTTAAAACTAGAGCCCTAAGAAAAGGGATATAAAGTTGTGGAAAAGCACTTTGCTTTTTCAATTGATGGCCCGGGTGTCAGGCAGTTAAAACAGTAATTACAAATTGACTCGAATGCACATATTAAAACACTGTACATATATATCTTTTCTACCTGTATTGTGATCTCTGTTGCCATGAGAGACTGAACTGGGAGAAGCTGTTTCCGTTCTCCTCCGCTGCACCGGTCGTAGAAAGCCCAGCCTTTAAGAAAATGTACTGGTTCTGTGCTGCCCCCTGCTGGCCCAGCCTGGATTTACCTCTATCTGAGATCGAGATGCTCAGGTACGGACAATAATAGTCCTGCTTTAGAAAATCAGCTGAGCAAATGTAAAGTAAATATAAACATCCATCAGGAACATAATGTACTCATGCAGTCCAACAAAGAAAGTTTGGCTTTGTTTAAGAGAAACATATGTAGCAATACCCTCACCATAAAATCACTAATTTAACAGAAGGGGAGTAATGTGTTTCCAAGAACACCACACTTCACATTAGCCAATAGCCTACATTTTGCTAGTTTGATTTACTGATGCTGCATAGTTCTAGAATCTTGAGTGGGGTCAAGTACATTGCTCACAAATAGAATGCAAAACTAAACCAAAGGCTTTTATTACTTGACATTATATCTGTAGGTCATAGTGGATTAAGGCAGATAAGTTGTTTTCTCTAAAATGGTTAATCTACTAGGATCTACATGTGTGAAAAGTCAATTGCTGGAAGTCCTCCAGAGGGACTCGATGCTTCTCAGTCATGCTGCATGAAATGTAATCAATGCAGTAACATGCAGCTGGCTTGCAGTGCTGGGCCCTCACACTTGGTGCACTGGTCTGCATGTTCTCCATGCCGGATGCGACGGGTATGTTTGAAGGCTATAAATGTCCCTGGGCAGTGTTACTGTCAGATTTAAAAACACAGGGTGTGACTGGTTAGTTCCATCCTTCCCAGAAGACGGTGATTTGCTTCATCCAATAGGAAGTCATTTGCCTCCTCAGCATGGACCTATTCAGCAAAAGGGCTATGGTTCTCGGGGGGGGCTATGCTCCACAGCTCACACATAGATGCCCTCGTGGCTGAAGCCAGAGGGCAGGTGACCCTCCTGGTCCTGTAGGTTGTTGGTGGATAGAGGTTGAGAGGAGGCCGGACGCTTCAGGGAGCCCCACAGCGAGGTTGCAGCATCTGCACACAACACGGGAGGGGGGGTTAGAGTGGCGGACAGACCTGTAACCGGAGAGTTGTTGGGTTGAGTCCCAAGAGCGATGGTGCCTTTACTTCCTTTCACACATTATATTAATATCCTAAGCCAAGGCTGCCCAATCCTGCTCCTGCAGAGCTTAGGTAGAGCCCTAATTTAACACGCCTGATACAGATAATCAGGACTTCAGTATGAGAACCAGCTTAACTTCAACATAGTTGACTCTAATACTGAGATATAACTGAAGGGCCTGATTATCTGTATCAGCTGTGTTAAATTAGGGCTCTACCTAAGCTCTGCAGGGGGGTAGATCTCCAGGAGCAGAATTGGGCAAACGCCGTTTTAGTGAGAAGCATGCATCTATCCCTAAAAAGTCCCTGCTTCCCCCAAAAACACAGCTGACGTTGCCATGAAGTGTAGTAGGGGATGGTAAAGATGCTAATGTCTGTTTTAAAATAATAAGCAAAATTGAAATGAACAATATTTTTAGATATGGCTCAACATCTCAATTTGTGCAGGCTTTAGAACAGAAAAACTGAGAAACCAGCAATTGCCTACCTTCACCACTAGGTGTCAGCAGTGGTAGTGTATTTGCGGGATGTCTAAAAATAGTGTCAAAATCGCTAGGAACCGAAGGCAAATTAACTACAGTAGCATTAGCGTGTCTTTTACCGCCATCTAATGAGCATCGCAAACAGCGTGATTTAACACTGCGCGTTCCAATGCGTGATAGATTTCAGTATGTATAATTAAAGCTTCCCATACGCCTAACGTTTCTTCCGTTTTCATTGTTCCTTTAAGCATAATTATGCGCTATTTGTGCGCTTTACGTGGCCAACAAGGCAGGAGGTACTTCTTCCATTTGTGCAACAGTTGCATTCGTTATATCACATAAATCATTTTTTAAAACTGCCATTTAGACAAAACTGGTTGTTCATATTGCAATAATGCATTATACTAGCTACATATAAGTGTGATACCACCCATGGTGTGTTTTAGTGATTAGATCTTGGCTCCACACGTGAACTGGACCATGCTGCGTTTGTCTGTGTTGGCGCTGTCAGTCTGACACCGGGGTGGCGAGGTGTGCGCCCGGCGGCCGCCTGCACCTGCTCCGGGGCTGACGCGGCCGGGCTCCCCGCTGCTCTCACTGGGCGTAACGCTGACTCTGCTGCCCGTCTGCTGGATGAACTGCTGCAGATTGACCTGCCGTAGCTCCTTGGTCAGCTGCTCCAGCTCCTGCTCCTTCTCCTGTGGGGCGATTCGCGCCCACACGCTTTCATTTTAACAGCTCATGGAGGAGCGGTTCTTGCCACATGGAGAGAAATCATCGCGGTCGTCGGTTGCAAAATTCTGCTTAGTTGGCTGCCTCCTCAGTCACGCTGTAAACGGGTATCATTTATTTTGCACAAGGTTGCACTGCAGTGCTATGGCCCAGCTGAAGCTAACGAAAGTGCATGTCCGGTTTCTCCACTAGATGGCGTCACAGGTTGAACTGAACTTGCCGTTTCTCATTTGGGTTTCTGCCGCTTTATTGTGGAGGGGACAGTGAGTTCGGGGACATGGTCCTATGGCGTAAAATGTGACGCGCCATTTCCCCTACCCAAGCAAAAAGTTAAATGTGTTTGAGATACAACTGTGATTTGCTTGCAAGTCTTGGTATAAATATGCAGCTGTATAAAAACATTAAGCATAATATTTTAACCTGTGTAAGTTGCTCTGGCTAAAAGTCTCTCTTAAGAATATAATGAGAAGTAGTGATGTTAACTAAATATATAATTATTATTTTTATCAAGAGAGTCCCAGTCAAAATTTATGCTAGTCTGCAAACAGCAGAGAGGGGGGGGGAGTGACACTACAGTAGCTGAAAATGCTTCTGAAAAGGACCACATTCTGCAGTGACATGGCCACATCAAACCGGGTGTTATTCTCTGTCCCCGTTCGGGCCCCAAGACACCGGGGGGGCCTGGGACCTCCATGGATCCTGGTCTCGCTCCCGCCCTCGGTGCGGATAGTTCCACATACCGGGTCTGAGAGAAGCTGAGAATTTTTCCACCAGATGCATTATTTTGTGATGCAGATAAATGGAGAGAATTTGTCTTAGAGTTTCCACGATGATGTGCACCTGGGCTTGGATCATGTTGTGTCCTTTACATCACACACATACACACACACACATACAGACACACACATTCATCAATGTCTTGTTTGTCATGTAGCTGGATCAGGACATGCAATTTTTTCCTGTAGCCCTTTACTAATGTATCCCAGCATGCATCTCACTTGTAGCCATCTGCTCTTTTGATCCTGTTGTAGCACCCACTGTTATGGCCCTGTAGGCCTATCACCTGTACTGCCTGGTGGGATGGTATACTGCCTGGTATCACCTGGTGGGATGGGCCTTGCCTCCACCCGCATCCCCACCCGCGGTGTGACAGGAGCGGCTCACCTGCAGCCGGCGTGCGGACTGGCCCAGCGATCTCTCCACGGCCCTGCAGCTGCTGTCCAGCCTGGATGCCTGCTGCGTCTGTGCCTCCAGCTCCACCTTCAGCTTGAGTACCCTGGCCCGCACCTCCTCCTCGTTCGACTTCTGCATCTCCTGCGTCTCCTGCTGCAGCCGCTCCGCCTGCACGCCGGCTTCCATGTCCTGGATGCGGCCCAGTGAGGAGCCCAGCTGCACCTCGCAGTCCTGCGTGCGGCGCAGCAGCTCCTGCAGCCGCTCCCGCAGTTGCCGCTCGTTCTCCTGCTCGATCTGCAGCTCGTTCTCCCAGAACTCGCCCTCGCTGATCTCCACCTCATTCCTCTGGACCTTGCGCTGCATGGCCAGCACCTCCTCCTGCAGCCTGATGAAGGTGCCCACCCCACTGGCTCCGCCGCCGCGCTCCGCCCAGGCACGCAACTCCGCCTCGCAACCCCCGATCCTCTGCTCCAGCATCCGCAGCTTCTCCTTCTGCAGCTGCACCAGGTGGGCCAGTTCCCGGGTCGGGCTGATCCGCAGCCCTGACGCCGTGGCGATGCTGTTGCTATGGTTCATGAGGTGCTGCTTGGCCTCCGACTCCCTGGACCTCCCAAACATGTCCAAGAAGCCCCGGGCGCCGCTCATGATGGTCACGGATTTGCGCTTGGGCTCCCTGCGTCTGAAGGAGCGCTCAGTGGGGGGGCGGAGCCTGGCCAATGGGGGGAGGCTCTGGCGGTACAGGACGCGCTCCGGGATGTGGGCGGGACCGTCAGAGGCAGGCCGCTCGGTCGCTGTGGACCCCGTCCGCCGTAGCACCAGCTGCACATCTCCCGCATGCGGGCCCCACTGGTTTAATGAGGCGATGGGGCACTCGAAGGGCGCTAGGGGGCGCTCTATTCCCCGCCATCGCTCCGTCAGCGTGTAACGCCCTGTGCGGCCTGTAGAGGCAGACAGAACAAGTTGAGAAGGCCATGACGTTTATCTCTGAAGGAAGCACATGCCTCCGCTTGCTGGAATTCTCGAAATGGACAGATGTGAACAGATTCGAAAGACAGTATGATAAGTGTGTATCTGAGGCCGGCCCGCAGGAGCTCAAGGCTGTGAACACAGCCACGGCCTGACGGAGGATCACGCCAGGCAGATTTCCCATCATGCAACTGGGCAGGCTGCATGGGCGTCTGAGCGCTGACTGTGCATATGTCAGGTCTGCAGTTTGCAGTAAAGTACTTAAGGCCCCCGCCCCCTTCAGCTCCCACCCAGCATCTTACCGATGGCCTGAGCCAAGGCCACCACCACCTCCTGGCAGGTGGTGACCTCAGAGACCCCGCACACGACGCGCTGGACACCATCCACCCACACCTTTAGCTCCATGCCGTCGAACTTCATTCCTCCATGTCACGTACCGGGAAACCGGGAGAGTCTGGGCTCAGTGCTGTGGGGAGAGGGGAAGATGGGGTCAGAGGGACCCACCCCCACGACAGATGTGTGGCCTTAACACTGCTCTGCCGTCTGCCTGTGAGGTTTATCTGTGATCACTCTCCTTCTGACTCGCTGGGCCATCTGCTCCACTACAAACGCACAGAGAAAAGTGATGGAGTCATTCGAGAGGACAAATGGGACACTGGGGGGGGGGGGGGTACGATGTCTGACGCCAGATGGACGGGCACTGGGGACTCTGGAGGACCGGGGAGCAACCAGCCTGTACAAGCCCACAGTTTTCATTCCAGAAGAGGAAAAAGAAAGAGAAAATCTTCATAACCGCTAAATACACGCTGGCTTAGGATTACAGACGCCCCCCCCGGGTTACGAAAGTCCGCGTTACGATATTTCGACTTTGGAACTGGAGTACCCATCGTATTCTGTTTTTCACTTTCAGCACAACAATTATCATCAATAAATTACATAAGATATTCAACACTTTATTGTTGAATGGGCTTTGCGTTAATGATTCTGGCCCACTGTAGGCTAATGTTCTAAGCATGTTTAAGGCTAGGCTATGACATTTGTTAGGATAGGTGTACTGTATTATAATGCATTTTCCCCGTATGATAGGTTTATCGGAACGTAACCCCATCGTAGCTCAGGGAGCGTCGGTATGTGTGTACAGCAGCGGATTCTCATATCTGGGGGCTCTGGGCTGCAGCCTAGTTTGGCCTATGCATTCATCCGCCGCCGGGTGTATTTTATAGCAGAGTCATCGCTGCTGATACTGTTTACAGACACTGTTGAGCTTCATCGCGTCACCTTAATGCCGGGGAGACGTCCCCTGATTTACACCCGCGGTCCAGCTGGAAGTGGCCCAGATCCACGGTGGTCGGCATGATGCACCCACCCGAAATCCAATCAGAGCCCCAGTGATCCAGAGCCTCTCCGTCAGCATGGGGTGTAAAAGAGGCCAGGCGGCCAATCACGCACGCCCCCGGGCCGCCGCGTGTCCCAGGGCTGGGGGAGGGACCCCAGCTGAGCTCAGAGACACGCAGGCTGGATTCACAGCCTCATCCCGCGGCTGAGATGCCATGTTGTTTGCAGCAGTGACATGGAGGCCTCTGCGGTGGCGGGACTCTCCCGGGACCGGCTGCGTTTAGGCCCAGAAGACCTGTTCTAAAATTCCGATTCGGCAGCACCTGGTGCCTGAGCTCACGGCCACCATCCCAGGAGATTACCCCCCCCCCCCCCCCCCCCCCCCCCCCCCCCCCCCCCCCCCC